GTGATGCTATAATATATGTCACATGAGGCACAGGCATGCGACTGATTTTTACAGACCTGTGCTGATTTTTGTTTTTTTCCTTCAGCGTCGTAGCTGTGGTCAGGATAAAGTAGGTTGTGAGTTTGTCGACTCTGCGGGGAAACGGCGTCTCAACAGCTTTTATTTAGTCACAAAGTGAACAAACTGCAGCCTGACCCAAAAATTAGGAAGCGGGGTACAGAACCGGGAACCCTCTGACACCGATGTAAAAAACCTTCGATAGTTTGACTCGGCGTGTGTGTGAATTTTCCTTAGTTAATCAGTAGTGTCTGCGGAATGTGGTCCACGTGAACAGCACGCAACATTTCTTATTTACACTGTCGTTGGGAGTGGACGCTTGTAGACACTCACGAGTTGAGACATTCTGGTAATTCCTTATTATTTACTAAAGATTGCTAATGCGCACATGGACGTCTGATAGGATTGTTGTTGTTCTACTGCTGGGCCTCAGTACAGCCATAAACCACACTTTATGGACGGCTAACGCTAAAGCTAAACAAAGCAGAGAAAAAGTTTGACAGCGACGTCCAGGGACAAACTGCAGCCTATTGTTTGGTGTTAGCATTTTTTTAAAAAAAGTTATGTTTTCTTTTTCTAGTTTGTTCATTTTTAACATGCTTCTTTCATGGAGGAGCTAACTAGCTAGCAGCCTGCAGATAGTGACATGCTAACCCAGTATGATTTAGGTTTAAAGTAAATACATTTAAAAAATATATTTTTTATATATATAACTGATAAAATTAGGTGTTAGTTTTTGTTTTGTTTGTTTTATTTTTCAAATTTTTTTTTCACAGTTCTGAATTTTTTATCACATTTTAAAAGACAAGATTTGGTGAGAATGAGAAGCTCGATTGACACGATTCTGTTTGAGGTTACACTAATCTGTTGATATTAAAACTAGTCAACTGGGAAAGTTCTAAGCTATTTTTTTTTTTATGTGTCCTTTGATACCTGTCTCTTTGGCTGCCTGTCGGATTTTCCAGGGTTAATCAGTTGTCTCAGTGGAATGTTGGCTGATGAGGTGAAACGCTGGTCGTCACGGATGGAAAATTACACAGTTAGAATCTCCAGAGTCATAAAATCATTCAACTAACATTTATTTACACAGTTTAATTTGACCAGTCACTTCCTGTCAGAGATTTTAACGTTTTCACAGGGATAAAGAGACAGGTAGCATCATTAGCTCTTGATGTAGCATTTAGCTTTTATTCTTAAACGCTCTTTTCCACCTTTGAGAAAAAAAAAATTTAAAAAATGATTAAAAATTAAAATTAAATTAAAAAATTATTTTGTCTAAATCTTAACTAATTTTCTACAATGTTTATGTTTTTTTTAAATTAATGGATGAATAGCAATTATTTTGTCTAAATCTTAACAAATTTTCTACAATGTTTATGTTTTTTTTTTTATAATTCCTAAATTATAGATTCTAAGCTTATTTTCGGTCACAACTCCAGCTTATAAAATATTTAATGTTTATTAACTTTTTTTTAGTAATTATTAGATATTGACAATTTTCAATACATTTATGGCCCACTGATGTTGAGTAGATGTCAGACGCTCCCTTAACGATTTCCCTTCGAGATATTTCGGCTCAAGTTTCTCTAATCTCTAGTCCTGTATTTAAATGGTTTATTTGCCAAAATGATTTGTTTTTTAATTTAAATATAAACATTGACTGCATTTAATTTCATAAACATAAATAATTCTGTCCAAAAAAAAGTCAATTGAGAAGAATTTGTTTTGTGAATTCCGGCCCAAAAAAGTCAATTAAGAAGAATTTGTTTTGTGAATTCCGGCCGAACAAATTAAATTAACTTGGTGTGTCAGGAAAATATAAAATGATATTAATACAAAAATAGTTTCAAAATACACTGGTGGATCACACATCACCATCATAGTTATTATGGTTAATATTGTGATGACATGATATTTAACAATATAATTGTGTAAGTGTGGAAGGAGCTGAGTCATAATCCCTTCTAAACCAACGCTCCCTGAGAAACCGGTTCTAGTTTCGCCATTAATCCAAAAATAAACCATTTGATGTCACATTCAAGGACTCACGTTTGAACTGGATTTTGCTGAACTCATGTCAACAGTCAGTGTCGAAACATTTAACCGCAAAGTTACAGAAGCCGAGTGTGAGAATGTTTATCTTTCCGTCTGTCCGTCTATCTAGCTAGCTAGCTAGCTAGCTAGCTAATGCTCTTTTTTCTTTTCTTTCTTTCTTTTTTTCTTTTCTTTTCTTTACCATTTACAGGTTTCATTTTCATCACAGTCTTATGTTTACACAACTACACAAACCCAGTCCAGACAGAGAGGACAAAGGTGAGGGGCGTGTCCCTGAGGAGGAGGAAATACAGACTCTATAAATAGTTGACGGATTGTCCTCAAACGTGACGTTGCTGTGAGAACTTAACTGTTCAGGTTCAACTGTAAAGACCCCCGGGCTAAATATAGACACACACACACACACACACACACACACACACAGACACACACAGACACACACACACACATTGTTACTTCCTTGTGTCACCTGTATGGGGAAATCCCAAGTGGTGACGTCACACAGGTAGAGTGTGACACAGGTAGAGACACAGAGAGGGCTCTGTGTGTGTGTGTGTGTGTGAGAGAGAGAGAGAGAGAGAGAGAGAGAGAGAGAGTGTGTGTCCCTTGTACAGCTATACTTTTGGGAACATTTAAAAATACTAAAATAGTATATATTTAAAATAAAACTACAAAGTACTATTAAAATACTACCAAAATAAAAGTCCGGAAAAGTTTTATTTTGAAAATATAATGATTTTTATTGATAATTCAACAACCGGTCTGTAGTAACGATGGGTACCAACCGACCGGTCCGTAGTAACGGTCTGTAGTAACGGTGGGGACCGACCGACCGGTCCGTAGTAACGGTCTGTAGTAACGGTACCCACCAGTCCGTAGTAACGGTGGGGACCGACCGACCGGTCCGTAGTAACGGTCTGTAGTAACGGTGGGTACCAACTGACCAGTCTGTAGTAACGGTGGGTACTCGACCGACCGGTCTGTAGTAACAGTCTGTAGTAACGGTGGGGACCGACCGACCGGTCCGTAGTAACGGTGGGTACTTGACTTGCGTTGACCGGTCCTTGGTACAAAAACGTTTGGGGAGCGCTAATTTAGCCGTTCTTTTGTCGAACCACTAAATATGACGTAAATCAACAAAGACATTATAAAATCTGAAGTGATTTAATTATTATTTTTTTGAATTCGGTTTCACTGAAGTTCTGTGTCACAGATACACTACACTAAGTTGATAAGTGGGGTTTGAAGGAAACTGTAGAAATCAATGTAGGTCAGTGTGTGTGAGTGTGAGTGCGATACAAACGTGTGGTTGTGAATTGATCTGATTCGATTACTTTCATCATGCTAACGCGTAGTAGTGAAAACCCTTTCTAATTATATTCAGAAACTACTACTACAACTACCTACAGAGTCAAATCACAACAGACGTCGACAGAACCTCCATGTGATTTAAGTCCAAAACCGAGGCCAAGTTCACTTGATTTCATTTCACCTCAGCCACACGTCGTGTTGAGTTGAACTTAGTTGAACTTAAACGTAGTCTCTACCTCGAGCAGATCGATGCTAACCACAAAGCTGAGACGTACAGAACCTCTGGGGGAATCGTATGTTTTCATCCTTAGAACACAACAAGCAAATCACACGTGAATGTTTTTACAACGTAAACGTTAACGATGCATTACTGCGAACCACGGTATTCAGCTGACGAGACAGAAACAAAATCAACTCTGATGAAACACACAAAAAGGCAATCTCAGAAAATCGTGGAAAGACTTGGTTGGTGACTCAGATCTACAGCCCAGCGCCCACAGTGCAGTGCTGACACAAGTCGGCTTCAGCTTCAGACTCGCACGTTTCCTTGCAGAGCGTTTCCTTTGAATATCTACTCATATTAACTTTGTTCTGTATGTTCGACGTGAACTGATTGAAATTCCTGTTTAGCAGATTAGCAGCTTAACTATCTGGTCGTCAAGTTTGGTTATAGAGTCTCCACCAAAGGCTAGGCGTTTGCGACATTGGTCAAATTAAGTTTAATCTAATCTAATCTACATTGTGAAAGCTGCTGCTGAACGCGCAGGACGGCGTTCTGCTGAGATTGTGTTACGACAAATCAAAATCGTATTATTCTGTAGTCGTGCTAGCTGTGCTCGTAGCAAAATTAGCTTAGCTAAGCAAAAGCTCAAAGGAAACTATTTTTATAGTTTATTGTCTATTCAGAGTATTGCCCAGTGTTGCCAACACTCAGTTCTTTTTATCTTTGTCGTTGTGTATAAAAATAGAAGTAAATACATGGGGTTCCTCAGTTTACGACATCCTTCATTTACAGCGTTTCGCGGTTATCTCTCCATCTCCTATAAATTTATTAAGAAAGTCTTTTCCATTATTCTGACTTGCGTTAAAACAAATTTTGCACAAGCGGAGCAGACGAATACATTGTCCCACGGCGCTATATGCGGACGCTTTGTTTACGTTCACCAGTCGTACGCCATATATTAGACTGGGCTACGTTCACTTTCCTTTGATTTGCTGTGTTTTTGGGAACTTTTTGCCCTTCATTGCGGCTTCCAGGCATTAGTCTCTTCTGATGAGTTTATGTCCTAGATTATGAGGTCACCACTGTGTTAGCGTAGGTGAGTGACATAGGAACAGTGTGACTTAAGTTACATCGCGCCATTAGAACGAAACTCCGCTACAACTCGAGGACACCCTGCAGTAGTACTCGGTGTTAAATATTTACTGCGTCCGTCAAAGGCCCATTCCATTTCCATTCGTAGTTCATCTTCGCGCTGTGATTTAAATTTGATCAAGTTTCCTTTTTTTATCTCAGCGATATATACGTACAACAAAGAGGAAACATTCCTTTGATGTAAACTTTCATGTTTGCTTTATTTTCAGGTTAGTAAACAAAACAACACTTGAGAAAATACTGTGACAACAACGTCGGAAATATCATAAGCCATAACATGGCAACATGGTCAACTGAAGCTGAGCTCAGTTATTCAAACACTGATCAATAAATAGATCAATAACAGACACAGAGGTCAAGAAATACTTTCTTTTTTTGTTTTGCTTTAAAAAACGGATAAATATCTTTAACTTAAATGACAAAATAAATAATGCGTAAAAAATATTCGGTGTATCAAAATGAATAAATAGGATAAATAAAGAACAGGTCGGCATTTTCAGGCGGACACGGTGGTGGCGCTGGTGCCGTTTTTGGTCTGGACGCAGTAATCGGTGAGAAACGAGAAGAGAATGTCAATTTCTCCCACTGCTTTGATGATGCCTCGCTCCCCATCCATCTGAAAGGAACACAGGAATATCATTATTAGTAGTTGTAGTACTTCATCTTTACTGCGACCATTTTCAATTTTGACCTTTGCTCTCATTTATAATAATATAGAATATGTTTTCTTTTTTAATAATTAAACTAGTTAAAAGGCAGTAAATAAATTAGGTAAAAAAGTTTGGAGAAAGTAACGGTCTCCTTCAATCTCACCTTGGCCAGTTTCTTGCGGAACTCGACGGCGTGGTGATCGTCGTGGTAGTGAGTCACATTCTGAACAGAGAGAAGCGAGAGAGTGATTTTCATCAGTTCAATCTTTCTGTCGCTGCTTCAACACAGACAAGGATCTACCACAGTGTCACCGCAGCCACACGTCGAGACGTGAAGAAAGAAAGTTCACTTTCTTTCTTCACGGGTTAGTAATTATTCCACTGGGTTGTTGTCGTCGTTAAAGGAGCATTTCAACACTTTGACACTTACGCAGCCGTGAGTCTGCAGGTCCTCGCTGACCCGGGCCAGGTCCACTTTGAGTCGGAGAATTTTGTCGTGCCGCTTGCAGTGGTGAGTCAGGATGTTGTTCATGTAAAAGTCCAGGATGTTAGCGTGGAGGCAGCAGATGCTCATGTGATCCTGAGGAAGAGCAAGAAAGAGCGGGAGACGGTGAGAAAAGGTCTATCGAGACGGACTACGACGGTGGACGTAGAAGATGAACATGTGTCCTACTTTGTTGCGGTCGACGTTGGGCAACAGTTTGGTGCTGCTCTCATCGGCCGTCTCCAAACCTTGGAACTGGAGGAAGATTGAGGGAAAAGAAATGCGTTAACCAAAAAGTCTCACCTTTGACGTCAATCTCTCACTTTAAGCCTGTTAGCTTTTGTTGGCAAGAAATGCCATTTTATTTCTGTGTTTTTATTCTTTGACATGAACGCGTCATCGAGTTCTACTGAAGGAGACCTTAACCCGGTGATTAGCATCCTCAGATAAATCTGTGAACCTAGCTGTTAGAGACACGATCTACTGACGCCCCCAGTGGTCAGTGTGTGTCACTGATGTTAATCTGAACAAACTTCTATAAACGTCGCTGCATGTAATTCTTTATGCATGAAATTTACGTCTATTTACACGGAATTACACAAATCGATGATCTTGAAAAGGACGACGTCCGATGTCAAAAAAAGATTCAAATTCATAAATAAATAAACTTTTGAAGTTTTGCAGGAGTACGATCGATTGGACTCACGTGTTTGGACACTTCGTGCACGGCTTGGTACGTGTCCTTGTTCCTCAGTACGGGACTCAGGTGCCGGTTGGTCGGGAGCGCCACAGTGTGCTCAACCCAGCCAATCAGAAACAGCGACAGGACGAGGAGAAGTAAAGTTGCCAACCTGGAGGAAAAGCAGGAGGACGAGGAGGACGAGGAGGACGAGGAGGAGGCGTCTTTGAACATGGTCAGCATCATCTTTTCGTAGTTTAATCCTTGACAAGACGACGGCAGAGATGAAGAGTTTTTAACCTGCAGGATGAATAGAGGAGAGGAGTTTAGAGAGTGAATGACAGAGACAGTGTGTGAGTGTGAGTGTGAGTGTGTGAGTGTGAGTGTGTGTGTGTGAGTGACACACACACAGGTCACACCAATGAGCTGAGGCTGTTGAGTGAAGTTGTCTCAGCTTAACCCGTCTCTTTATACACTCTTCCATCCTCCACCCCCATGAGAATATAGGACAGATAACCAGAAAAACCCCAACAGACACACACACACACACACACACACACACAGGTCAGTGCTGAGCTAGTATAATCTGTGTTTACCGTCACTTACACAAAGAGGAAATTACCTTTCAGTCAAAGTGTGTGGTGAACTTGAATTCGATTGCAAAAAGTAGCATTTTATTTGTTTTCTCCTCGCTGACCTCACTTCCTCCTCGTTTTTTTTTTTTTTCCAGCGTACGTGTGTGTGTGTGTGTGATTTAATGTTGCACGTTTGCCTTTTACCTGATGAGACACTTCAAAGACGTTTCGCTCATACTGGGCTTTAACCAGTGGAAAAGGTGAGAGGATTTTAAACCCGCAATTCCATCATGGGTTTACGACTACCAATGAATTCAACGACGTCTTTCAAAAGAAATGACGTTCGTAACAGCGCGAATGTTGATTTTTCACCAAAACACATCGAAAATGTATGGAAAAAAATAAAATAAAATGTAAAACATACTAGGTTGCAGTTTAGCAATACTAGGAAAAAGTAGTAGAAATATTCACAACTTTTAAGCAGGAAAGTCCTACAAATGTATAAACACCTCAAACGATTAAAAAAAAAAAGAAAATCACATTTTTTGTTAAAGACGTATATAAATGAAAAAAAACTTAAAAAACAGGTTGTAAATATTTTTCAATGTATTTATATTTCAATAGAAATAAAAAAAAATCATTATAAATGTAAATGGTAAAGAATTAAAACTTCAACGTGAAGTTGTAAAATCACCACTTAACTTAAAATCGCACCAAAAATATTTGAAATGAAAATTCTTAAAAAGAAAATGTTTTACTTAAAATGTTTAAGAAGTTCAAATATCACATGCTAATTGGACCAAAAAATAATTCACAAATGCATTAATAAAATAATAAAAATTAGTAAAAATTTCTGTAATTAGAAAAGAGGTGAAAATCGTTCGTCATAAAAATCATTTTCACGAGTTCACGTTTATTTACGTTTTACACAAGTACAATTTTTTTTATTGAAAACGAATTACCCTGAGGAACTTTTTCAGTTCGTTAAACTCCGTTTTAACCTCTTTTCTTATTTTCTGAAGCTTAATGAAAAAAAAAGTGGGGGCCCCGATTTGGACCTTGAGGAACTCCGAGTGTCCAGTGAAACAGGACTGATCGGTTTTTTCATGGGTCGTATTGTTTTTTTAATGATTGAATGCAAAGGTAAACCTGCAGATGAATATAGACAACTTTCTAATTTACGACCTAGCTGAGCCACACCCGCAGAATCGCAACATCAGCACAACACAACGTGAATGTTTTTTCATCGAGAACCCAGTGGGACACCGTCCAACAGGAAGTGGGCGTGCAGACGTATCAGTGTTTCGCTTTTGTTGAAGAGTTTGTGAGGCGTTTCCATCCCTCAGAGAGAGGACATTATGATTATCAAAGACGTCCTCAGACTCCGAGCAGCTCCTGTTTCAACCACCTGATCTCCTTTTTCGCTGGAGAACTGCTTCAATCCACCAATCACAAGACGTGGCGCATATGTGATTGGTGTTTGATACAGGAAGAGGAAGTGGCTGAAGGTGAGGAGCTTTGACGAGAAGTTTGTACAGTAGGGGCTTTACAACTTCTCCCAACAAAGATCTTTAATCTTAGTGGGAAGATTGAAGAGATTATTTCGACAATCGACAGTTGGTTTTTTTTAAGTCAAGTCACTCGAGAGGCTCGTCGTTTTCATCGCTAAATTTCCTTATCGTCTGTTTTCAACTGGCTAATTTCGTTACTACACTTCAACTCATCTTTGTCTCATCGCCACAGTTTAATTCAACTCATTCGGTCTTAGCATCCTCTGATTCACAGGTGTCTAACATAAGGCCCGGGGGCCAAAAGCGATCCGCCAAGTCATTTTGTATGGCCCACGGAAGCTTTGAAAATGTTTATTTTATAATTACACAGCAATAAACCATATTTGTAACTTATATAAATAATAATAATTGCTGTATTGCTGATGTTTGACACCCCTGCTCTAATTGTTAAATTCCTCTCCATGTTTTCTCACCTTCTGGGCCCAGTTTTCCTACTTGACATCTTCTCTTTATTAAAGCCACTCAATCGCATCAATACATTTTTTTTACATTTTCTCACTGAACCATTTTGAGCTTCATTTCATCAGCATCCTTGTCCACTTCGTCCCTAACCAATATGACCTTCATCTCATTTCCTCATCTTCATTCCTGATCCCGTCTAATTACTCATCACGTCTTATCAAACAGAATAACGACTTCCTACAAACAAAGAGAACGGAATTCTACTGTGACTCTGGGTGAATCCCCTTCATAACACACACACACACAGAAACACAAACAATGTGAAGCCGGGCGGGTGTGTATTTTTCCCCATGGATGTTTAATGATCATGTGACACAGCAATCGTCACATGACAAACAAGTTACGTCCTAACAAAACAGATTATTTGTCAACTGCTAAATGGGAAATTTACAGATAAGTCGTGTGCATTCATGGACACGTGTGTGTGTGTGTGTGTGTGTGTGTGTGTGTGTGTGGTCAGGGATTTCTCTGTGAATTCCAACTATAAATATAAACTACAGTGTATAAATTATTTGATTATTGAAAATACCACTGTTAAAAGGCATTCACTTAAACACTTTTAAAATGGAACACTCCACTCACACACTGACTTTCAGTCTCTCCACTTCAGCTACATTGGATTAGCTCGGCTCGGCTGACCAAGGTGCTGCCTAGAGAAGTGGGTCCCCCAGTTCCGCATAGGGTATGAGCAGGCTAGCTGCCGACGATGAAATGTCAGAAATGAATACAAAACTGTCTACGAAGCTAAAGGAGAAATCATAGAAAACAATGGAAAATAGTTCATATGTTTTGATCCGGAAACACACAGAAGCACGTGAACTAAGCCGCTGGCCTACTACTGCCTCCTGTGGTCAGGTCTGGTCACTTTTTGATTTTAACAATGTACGTAAGACAAAGTGAGCAAAAAAAAATAAATAAACATCACAAATCAGGTGACACTTTCACCAAGTCCAGGGATTTGGTAGCATTACAGTCAGGGATACAGTCAACCAATCAGAACAACCAGGTGAAGATGATCGTCATTTTTACATGAAGGCAGAAACTAGTTATTATCTAAAACAGAACTAGCTGCGGAATAAACTCTACTCTCTTATCAAGCAGTGGTTGTAGAAAACACTACATACTCCATGGTTTCAGCAGGTTTATGTTATGACACATTATCCTCCGACTCTAACCTTTTTTTTTTTTTTTTTTTTATCATTGTTTTAAAAGTTACAAACTGAAGGAGTAATTTTCATCTTTGCTGAACCAGCGAGTGGGAGAATTTGCTTCCTTCTTCACTTTGATGTTAGCAGCTTCAGAGGAACAGACCCAGGTTGGTGGTTTGGTTTTAACACAGGTTCAGGTTAATTCTGGGGTTTGGACTGAGGTCAGTTTGAAGTCACGGCTGTTTGTTTTTTGTTTTTTTTACCAGAAGTGATGCTAATGTTGAGATCATTCACCTCTTTGAACTAGATTTCAGAAGAAAAACTGTTTTCTGGAACATCCACCAGCGACAAGGTACAAAGTGTTATTTGTATTTCAGTCTTATTGAAAGAAAAGGGAACGTGACACGGTGAGAAACTGGAATGTGTTTTTTCCATCTAAATTTCCATCCTAATATCCAGTATCTACATTACATAACAATAGGGGTTTGTAAAGTTTCAGATCAGATTAACTCATTTGTGACTCATGACTTCATACCTGCTCTGCAGCCTGTATCGGTGGTGGTGGTGGTGACACAGTCTTTTTCCAACTAAACTGCTTGTGTCCTCTGATCTGTGGGCCACTGGCGGGGAGACTTGAGCGCCACCCTCTGGCCCAAAGCATTCCTCTTCTATAACGCCACACAGTCAGAAAGAAAGAGAGAAAAGATGATCTTTCAGCCAAAGTAGTTTCCTGTTTTGGATTCAACAAAATAGAAACACTTCTCAGGGTCTCTCACCTGAGAGTTCAGCTGCTTTGAACTTTAGGTGTTACACAAAACAAAAACAAAAATCCTACAAATAATGACGCTTGCGACGACCGTGTTTCAGAATAATGAAGAGTGAACACAGGTCAAATCAATTTTATTTTAGTCCAAATTCACAAAATGAATTTGTCTCAGTGGACTTCACAGTTTTACGAATTTGTCTCAATGGACTTCACAGTTTTAAAATAAAATTGAAATTAAAAATATAAAAGTGAAAATAGAATTATTTGCACACGGTGCGCATCATTCTTCCCATGTGTTAATAACAACTCAAATTAACGTTCCTATAAAGAAGGTGGAGGTTTTTTTTTTTTACTGTGCATTTGTTTTTTTACAGCAAGGGTTTCTTTCAAAACTTCAGCGAGTATCCTTAGCAACATTAATCCATGTATCAAAACCTCGCAATCTATTTGACAATTGTTTCAGTCAGATCGTCAGCCGTGGGCTCAGTGAGGTTGGTCTGACGCAAGCCTGGTGTCTGACCTGAATATGAAGCCTCCGCAAACACAGGCAGGCTGTGTTACATTTACAAAAAATGACAATTTGTGTGTATTGAGTGTGTATTACAGCAATAAGTGAATGGACAGTGTATTATTGGATATACAGCCCTGCATCATTCTGTTCATCCACTTAAATGCAATTAAAAATGTCCCCTGATTAATCGAAAAGCCATAATTTTGAAAGCCATAAAAAATAGTTTAACTGCTCCTTTAACTAAACTGGCATAAACAATATAAAACTATAACACTTTATATATATATATATATAAACAGTTTTCGCCAAATTGTTAAAAATTGTCTTTTAAAACTAAAAATATTAAATAGCATTATTAAACTAAATGAATAGAGGAAAGCTAAAGGTTCGATGGTCATCTTTTCCCCCAAAAGTCCTCCCGTCTTTTCTGAGCACGCTCCAAGATAGCCGACGCAGCGGAACACGAGGCTGCGGAGCACCATGACATCCTCGAGAAATGCTCATCTGGATGGTTGAATGGAGGAACAGGGAGACGGAGAGTGAGTGATGGCTGTGATGGTCATGCATGTCTGTTTTTTACAATTTCCTGTTTGTTTATTTTCAACAATTTTGAAAAAGATGAAAGGACTTCTTACCCTCTTCACATTCACCGGCTTTCCTCATAAACTGACACTGCCTGACCCCGTGATCACCTTGGACGACACAAAAAGGAAGTTCAATCTTTCAGCCGTTAACTCACCTGGTCGCTCACTCAGTGACTCGGTGACTCAATCACCTTACAGTCACGTGCATTCACCCTCCACTCCACTCAGTCACTCTGCTCCACCGGCTCCATGACTCACCGTTGTGCAGAAAGTCGGGCTTCCTCAACATTCCCTGTATTCCGTGCACTGGAGGTCGTAGCTCTTGGGATGGAGGAGTATACCTAACCCTGGCTGGTTTACAGATTGACCTGTGGTCTGCGGGGGGAGGGTAATGGGGATTGTTGGACCAAGCCTCTTTTCTTCTGGCCGACGCCTCAGCTGCAGTGGAGCTGATCGGCAGTTTTCTCACCAGCATGGCGCCTCCTGCAGAGGCGACCAATTAAAGATTGAAATTGGACCTGGTTCTATTTGGAGCCATTAGTTTGGATTAGCCTCACACTTAGTTTGTGTGTGCGTGTGTGTGTGTACAGTACCAGTGACCGGTGTGGTCAGGTCATGGTGAGTCCTATGAGATGTTCTCGTCGTCATCAGCGGAGCATGTAGCCTGCCTTCCCTTCTGTCGAACACAGAGAAACAGACAGATGGAAGATACGGCAGCAGGTGTTTCCTGTGGTTTCCTTTGGAGAATCTCACAGACGTTTTTCAAATGTGTCTCATGTAAGCACTGTAAAAATCATTCTGACAGGAAACCTTTTTAAATCCCATCTACTTGCAGGCGACAACATCTGCAACACAGCTGCGGCTGAAGGGCCGGTTGTAAATGTATAGCTGTAACTACTCCATAACGTATTCATAAATGTTTTCTGCAATTGATTATTATTTATATAAGTTACAAATTTTGTTTATTGCTGTGTAATAAAAAGTTCCGGCAGGGCCATACAAAATGCCTTGGCGGGCCACATTTGGCCCCCGGGCCTTGAGTTTGACACCTGTGAACTAGACAATTACTTTCTCTAATACTTTCATCCATTGATTTTTAGTCTAGTGTTTGTTTATTTTCTAACCCTTTCAGTGGTCCTTTTTGGATTTCCGTCCTTAAATTAGACAGCAAGACATCACTTACTCGTCTGTATTTTCTTCTTCTACTTCTACTACTTCTTGCCCCCTCTTCTCTGGTTCCCATGCTTGTGGTATTTCAGCTGGAGGACCTCCGGTGGCGTGTGCCGAAGACCTTTTACTGGAGTAGGCGGAATCACTGTTAACAAAACACACAGTCACAGATTGTGTTACGTGCCATCCTACTGCTGTAAAGGAACGGTAATCACTGGTATTTGGAAAGACCTTGGCAGATCTAGAGGCTCCACACTGGGCATTCTGTGTCCCTCCCTCTGCTGACACGGTTCCACTGTCAGGTACTGTGTGGGGGGGTAGTCGTCATCATTGTCCTCCCAGTGAATAGTGTTTTGAGAATGGAGCTGGCCCAGGTGCTGCCTAGAGAAGTTCTCCCCCCAGGCTCGCAGACGGTATGACCAGGCTTGTTGACGCAAGTCTGATGCCTTTGGAAAAAAAACAAAAAACGCCGACCATAAAAGGTCAGAAGGTCCGATGCCTTTGGAAAAAAAACGCCGACCATAAAAGGTCAGAAATTAATACAAAGCGGTCCTTGTAACTGAAGGGGACACCATGGAAAAAAAATGGAAAATATTTCAGTTGTTATTGTTATCAGAATCCAAAAACACGTTGCAGGTCTACCGCTGCCTCCTGTGGTCAGTCTTTGAAACACAGGTAAATCTGAACTGTAATTCAATCAATACAGGTAGCTCTTTTTTAAAATTATTTTTCTATTAGAATAGTTAAAACAATGATCAGAAGACAATGTGAGCATGAAAAAAGTAGAACTCTACATTAGATCGATCTTTACAGCAGATGTTGTTGAATTATAGTCCGTGATATAATCAACCAATTAGACCAAACAGGTGAAAATGATCATTATTTTTTACATGTAGAGAACAGTTGTTTGCTAGATATCTTCTGCCAGTTATCTTTGGACTAACCTTTGCCTGTAGTACTTTAGCAAGGCTCATTTTGTAACTGTTTATATTTAGGAAGGCAGATAAAGATATACATTAAAGGAAAGTGAACTGCTTGTCATGGTGACACATCACACCACCGCACACAACCAAATGGGACCTCTGTTTTTAACCCAGCACCAAAGTGAACAGTGGGCAGCTTTAAGTGCCCGGGGAGCAGTGTGCCATGCTCAGAGGTAACCTGGCAGCTGGTGGACTCCAGACCCAAGTCCACTTCCCACTTAGCCATCACTGCCCTGTTTTTATACATGTTTTATAAAAAATACATGTTTTTATAATTGTTTTTAACCTGTTTTTAAACTCACAAACTAAATCAGTAAAACGTTAATAACAAGGGGGAGAATTTGAGACCTTCACTATTTCTTCACCTTAGCTTTAGAGGAACAGACTCAGGTTAGTGGTTTAAAACAGGGTCATGGTAAGTCTGGGGTCTGATCTGAGGTCAGTGTGAGGTCACAGTTGTTGTTTTTTACCAGAACTGACGCCAATGTTGAAATCATTCACCTCTTTGAACTCGATTTCAGTAGAAAAAAAACTGCGATCTCTGAACATAAAATAAAATAATTAGGAACTAGAAAGTGAGACCATATCACTCTGGTTCTGGCTTCTCATCATGAAGGAATAGGATGGACTATATTCTTAGTTCTCAGGTAAAGCTGGGTTATCCTTTAGGCCTAGACTGCTGGGGCAACTCCCATGGTGCACTGAAGACTTTCTATATTTCTTCAAATAAAAACATGCATATTAATTAGAGTCCTGATGATAACAATGTTGCCTCTTTCTCCATTAATTTATCCCCTTCTTTTAAAGCTGTTCCTACGTCTGTATCTTAACAGATTGTGTAATTGTCCCTTTCTTCCATTGCCAAGGCAGATGGCTGAACACTGAGGCTGGAGCTGCTGGAGGTTTCTTCCTGGTAAAAGGAGGGTTTTCTTTCCTGCCACTGTTTAACATCTAATTTGGTTTTCAATTATATTTTTTAAACTGATTCTTCTGCTGCTTTGTATTGTTGACATCATATTGTTAAAATCCTTATAATTTAATGTTGACGAGGGATGGACTGAACATTACTTCCAACTACATATTACTACTCATATTACTTCTAATACTTATGATAAAAGAAATCTAATGAGTCATCGAGCGCTGCAGCAGTCCAAGCATATTACTTCTATGATAAAAAGAAATCTAACGAGTCATCGAGTGCTGCAGCAGTCCATGGCTCCCATTGGTTGATGACAACAGTCAGTCCCAAGCCAGTACTGATCAACATCCCGTCCCTTGTGGGAGCTGTAGTTGTTTGTTTGCATGTGTATTCAGAGTCAGTGAGCAAATTAAAGTGAAAATAAATCAAGGTGCACTGATGTGTGAGAAAATAATTGTCGGTGTTAAATTAATGACGCGTTCATGCGACCAAAACCAGTTAACTCAGCCTGCCATAAAAATAACACATTGAGAGAGGCAGCAGTGGCTCAACACCTGCTGTTCTCTGTGAGACAGGGGTGTCAAATATATGGCCGATGGCCCAAAACCAGCCCACTAACTTCGATCCGGCCCACTTGATGAATTTTGCGGCCCAAAACCAGCCCACTAACTTGTTCCATCCGGCCCACTTGATGAATTTTGAAGAAAAACAAAAAATACACAAATACTTCATGTTCAGGATATTTTTCATCAACACACACAGAGAACAACTGACCTGAGGGATGTATCCAGATGTGGTTCCACCCCGTTCTGGCAAGTAATAGTTGGCCTCATACTCTGTTCTGTCACACACATAAAACAATAAACACATTACGATCCTTAGTGTACACAATAGGGTACAACACAACACAAGTGCTTAAACACACACAAACACACACCTGGGCTCTGGCTTTGGTGGTGAAGGTGAGGATGGCCCGTCACCTGACGGTCCAAGCTTCTTCTCCTTTTTTTTAGTCTTCTAAAAAGTAAAAATAAAGAAAATGTGTAATATAGTAGTAAAGTAACAGTAGAACACACCTGACCTTTGTGCTTTAAACACACACACACACACACACATCAGTACCCTGTACGTGTGAAAAATAGGAGCTGGCTGCTCCACATGTTTCCGTAGCCGTGGTCCTGCGGGAGGTTCAATGTACTGGTAGCTGCACTGATATTCTGTTTCCATTGAAACCGGGTTTTGCTGGAATGGAACGGCCGACCTGACGCCAGTGTACAAAGACTGCAGGGAGTAGAGTTTATAAAATGTAAAGTCAAGTTCACGGCTCAATCGGTCAGGCAGCTGTTGTAGTCCAAACATATTTATGAAGATTGAATGTTCTTCATCTTCTTCAATCTCTTCATGAATGAATGATTAAAGAATCATTCATTCATTCATTCATGAAGATTGCGCAGCTATGCCTGCTATATTTTGGTGACTCAACAGCTTTTTATGTTTTATGTTTTTATGGCCAACCATTAATTTTTCAAATAACTAATCTAACAAAATAAAAAATTAATTCTTTCATCAACAAAAGTCAAATCAAGTTTTTTGAGTTTTTAGAGATAATTCAGAGTTTATACAAGAAATATTTATTGGGGTTCTTCATTTGGGGTACCACAAACATATAAAGTATATTCAGTTAATGAGTTATATCTCAATGTGTTTATGTATAAAAACAGGGTTAAGTTCGTGCATGTATGAATGAGTATCCACATTGCTAAAAAAAAAAGCAGAAAAAACAAAAGTAGGAGTTTGTAAAGTTTCTGATCAGACTCATGCCTCCACCTTCTGGTCACCCAGCTTAACTACATGTCTCTAACTCAAACTCGTGTGATCCATGACTTCATACCTGCTCTGCAACCTGTATCGGCGTTGGCGACACTGGTTTCTTCCAACTAAACTGTTTGTGGTACTCTGTCTTGGGAACTGTTGGCCTATGATGTGGAGACTTGAGCGCCACCCGCCGGCTCAAAGCATTCTTGTCCTTTGTAACACAACACAGTTAAAAAGAAAGATCTATTAGCCAAGGTAGTTGTTGAATCTGTTTTGGATTCAACAAAACAGAAACACATCTTGGGGTCTGTCACCTGAGTGATCAACTGCTGTGCTTGATATGGCGGTGCTGCAGCTGGAGGGGGTCGGCCTGTCTCTGACTGGCAGACAGGATGGGGAGAGTAGGACTTGGCTAAAGAGGATTAAAGGATATAAAAATAAGAAGGGAAATAAATTTTATTTTATGAGGAACAGTTTCATAAGACCAAATTAGCTGAAAGAAAACAAAATGGTTTTGCATTTACCAAGTGTTGATGTTTTTGTCAACTTTCCCGCCGACCCGATTTGTGCTGCTTCTCTTTCGCTCTTCGGTCGTTGTGGTTCAACCGGTGGTCCTTCCACCAGTGGCATTTCTGGTTCTGCATCCTGTTGTGGCCCAGTTGTGGGCTCATGCCGCTCAGGAGACTCAAGTTCCTCTCTGGGTGTGAAGGGTTTTGTGCCGTTGGTGGTGGTGTATCGACCATATGCTGTGACAGGGACGAAAGAGCTGGATTTGAACACTGCAAATGTTTACCACAAAAATACAGCTTTATATGAAATATTTTTTTAATACATTGGTCGTGGTCATAGTGTCTGCTTGATGGCCACGTGGTTCTCGGAGCGGTGGCTTGGTACGGGTGGTGCTGCGGATCTGAAGAACGATAGATGGAGGCGTAGGACCGTGCCAGAGCTCCAGCATCAAACCTTCTTCGACGCTGCAGGTCTGGCTCTCTACCAAAACCTGAGAGAAGAAATTGATTTTGTGTATTAGAAATTTTATTTTGTACTTGTACCTTCCATGAACATTTTATACTGTTTCTAGCTAAGCTTAGCTTTTTTTAAAATATATTTTTTGGCTAACTTTTAGATGATTTTTTTTAGAGACAATTTTACAAAAAAAGATGATGATTCTGGTGTTATACCCAAGTAACTGGAGCAAAGGCCAGCCATTGGGGCGTAGCAGTCAGAAGACGGAATCCTTCCACAAGATTTTCCATACTGCCTACGGTATTCACTCTAAAACGCAAAAATAAAACAAAATATCAAACATACAGTTTAATTAATTTTTGTACTTAGAGAGAGAATAGTGACATTATGGATATTTAATCCAAACACGAGACTACACCACTAGATGCTGCTAATCTCAACACGTACACAACACGTAAACATTATACACTCACAGCCACTGCTAATGACTTCAAATGTGAAACCCCTCACATTAGGATTTTTCAAAATTAAGTCTGATGTAAACCACAGTTATAATAGTTATGGAATTCCCATTAGTTTAGTTTCATTTGTTTTTATTTTCGTTTTATATCGTTTTAGAGCGAGTTTGGTAGTTTTATGTAGTTTTCATTTTTTGCTAAATGTTTAGCTTTTATGAGTTGTATTGGTATTAGTTTTCCCATAATGCGGCTTGTTAGTCAGGTGTAGGTATGTATTTCAAAATATGTCAAAATGTATTCAGAAAAACAGCAAAATAGCAGCCTTCAATTCAAAACGTACTGCTGAGGTTAGATACTGATAGTGTTAGCATCAAAAATAGCCAAAAGGCTAAAGACACAGACAAAAAACAAAACAGTCATTCATAAAACACACGTCAAAAAGGGGGCATTTCTGAGGGGCATTTTATCTATAATTTCAGTACGTTTTAGTCAAGTTTTTTTAAACAAACAATACAGTTGCAGCTACTTATCAATGTTATTATTGCTTCTATTGTATGCATTAGTTTCCGTTTACTATAATAACCTCGACAGTCTGCCAGTCCGTTAAATCTCTGTTACACGGATAAGGCGGATTATTTTTTCAGATTTTGTCAGATTACTCGCGACTCAACAGGTTGGTTACTTCGCTCTGGTAAACCGTAACTACTATTTCATTAATGAGTTTATTAAAAGACAATTAAACTCACCTCTAACGCAATTTTTAAGTCAGTTACATGTCAGTTAGGAATAATTAGTTAGCCACTGCTAACACCTGTTGTAATTTCTGTTGTTTACCTCGTAGCGGCAAGTCATGGCGCACCCACCGCTGCACAAAACATCACACAATGTGCCAACCAACTGACCGGTGGGGTGTGTAGTCGGTTGACTGGCTCGTTATATGAAAAAAATAAATAAAATAGTGTATTCTGCTCGTAAACGAACTAACCGGCGGCACTAGTTAAAGCCAAAGCGTCACTTTCATACGCCGCTGTTTCTATAGCACCACTGCGGCGTCACGTACGCGCAGTCGCGTTAGCAACTATATGACGTCAAACCGGACTCGGGTTGTAAGGATAAAAATTTCAACTAAAAAGATACTATAAAAAAGCCCAGTCAACAAGAGGAGTACTATTAAGCACTTCAGGCAAACAAGAACCGGTAATATTTATTTTTATTATTTTACTGACGCGAGTATTTAATACGTTTTCTAAGGCGTTATTGTTTTTGATGCTTAAAAAAAATACATATATTAATAGGATATTTTTTCACCTTTCTTATTGAATTTATAATTCAGGATAATAATAAAAAAAGGCAAGTTCATACATATATTTATGTGTATAAATACATATATGTATATATACACATTTTTTTACTTATTATTCATTCACAGTTGTTTTTCTGTCCAAAAAACAAAAACTCAACACAGTTCGCTGTTACAAAATTGCACCACTTTTATTCATTTAAGGCTTTTTAGTTATTTACTTAACATTTGGCTTCACCCTCTCCCTCCATTCCTCCCCTCCCTCATCCACTTCCTCCTCCTTGTTCTCCTCCTCCACACCCCGTGCCTGACCTCAGAGCTTGCACTACTGCTGCTTTTTTTTTTTTAATTTTTACTCAGATTTTTACCATTTGAAAAAAAAAAACCAAACAAATTCTGACACACGCATTTGTTACAAAGTGGAGATTTGAATCTGAACCTCAAACACATCACAAATCATGCCATACACAGAAACACAAGCAGGTCCATATCTCAGTGATGTCATCATCATACATTTTCTTCTTGACCACAAGGTTACCAGCATCTGACTGCAGGTGCAACTATTTTTAAGATATCTGATTGGCTGGATGAAAGCAATATATATATATATATATATATATATATATATATAATTAATGTTTGCCACAACTCAGCCAATCATGACCTAAAGATAAAATAAATAAAAATTAACATGCCCTGTTTGACATAGGACCAGAATGTAGGTAATATCGTAGTCAAAAAGATTAAATTAAAAATTCTCTTTTCAAACAAATTGACAAAAAATAAATGTGATTGTGTCCCGTTTGAAATTTATTTTGGAAAAAAAAAATTGCACCATTGCCTGGCTCGATTGTGTTAGTATCCGAGCGTGATGTTGGGTCATTGCTGCCTCTTGTGGCCTTTTACATAGAACTGCTTTTTTTTTTTTTTTTTTTGCAAATAGAAATATTTCTCTGTCAAGTCTTGTCAAGTCTGTGAAAATAAATATACTGATGTAAAAACATGGCATTTTCCCTTGATTTTCTTTTGGCTAGAGATGCTGTGGGTGTCTTCTACCATTCTGCCACAGGGGGCAGTAGTGAGAACATTGAGGCTTTAACAATAATGCAGCACAAAAAAAGGCATATTTCATTTAAGTCAAATGAAACCACGTGACCCATTTTTATGCTGCATATAATAGGAAGAACTTTTATGCCAAGACTTTCTGAAAACTTTGCTGTTAGAAATTATTTTGGCTGTTTTCAAAACTTCAGTTGTCCTATTTGCTTCAACTGTTCACAGCACATTATCAAAACAATAGTCAGCACTGGACTGAAAACAAGTCACAATTGCCAAAGACTGACTTTTGTCTCTTAGTCAAAAGCTTCTGCAGGGGCATGCAAACAGTCACAGCACCTCCTGGAGGTCAGAGCGAGTTCTGAGAAAAATATGAACATGCTACATGAGTGAACATACCGGAGGAGGAGCCAATGAAGTACTGATGTCGGTACCATGGTACCAGTTATAAAACCACTGAAACACTGTGCAGAAGCAGAACTCACAGAGGTCACCGGCCAAAACACACTGAACCTGCAAGCTAATTACTTGCATTTCAAACAGAACACGGACTATTCAACTGATTTGTCTGACCATGCGTATTGGCCAATAGGGGGTGTGGTTACATCTATAAGCCCAACCTCTCAAATTTGGCTGTGATTCTGTGGAACACTGAGATTATACTTGGATTATTTACACTAAAATCATCTTCATGTACGCTGCTCTTAATGCTAACACAATGTGTTTTTAAACTGAAACAGCGTTGTTTCTTTCCAAATGACTTATTTAAAGGAGAGACACCACAAATTAGCACGAGGAGCTGGTTCAGTGTAAAGAAATAAAAAACACTGAATCATTTGGCTAAAGTGATGCAAACTCTTCCTCATTAGCCAAGCAAAAACAGTATTTTTTGGATGTTTACAAACATTTTTTGTGCACAATTAAAAATTTAAATACTGATCTGAGCATCTGACCAGCTCCATCAATTTTTTTCCACTAATATTTGACCATCATACTAAAAAAATTCTATGAATTCATCTGGTCAATGAAAATAGTTTGACCGTCAGAATAACTTTTTCCACGAACAACCTTTTTTTGGGGGGTTATTATTAATATTAATCATTAGATACATATGTGGATAATGAAACAGAACCAACACTTTTGTCCTGTTCAGTAATTAGTAACAATAACAAACCGCCACGTCCTCACTTTAGGCCCAACTGGCCTGGTTCACTTTTGCTACTTAAACAAACACTCTCACACATACACACACATACACACAAAGCTAAAGTACTGGACCAGTGTGAGTCTGCTGTCTAAAGGCAACATGTCCGCCCTGAGCAACAGATTTGATGTCAGCTCTGTGCCGCTGCCGTTAATGCTAACCAGTTAGCCTTAGCAACTGTATTCTATTTCTTTGAAAATAATGACAAACCATTAGCATATTCCTCACAGAACAAATTAGCACATGGTTTGCTACTATTACTGTTTCAGAACAGATGAGCAAAATCTCTACAAACACTTGTAGGCATTTCATCACTACTAGCGCAGCTAAATCAATATATTCAGCTCCAGCAAAAACTCGCCCAAAGCTAACAAAAGAGATGAAAGCTGGCAACTACGGACGCTGTCAGAGCGAGTAGCTAGCAGCTATCATCGTGTTGCCATGTTATCATGCTACAAATGTCTCAAAGTTTAAAGAAAGTGCTTAGACTTACAGGCTTGTTAAATTAATGAAGAACGTGCTAGCCCAAAACTACAGTTGAATTAGTGGTAAATCCGTAGGGTTTGAAAACCCTGCCAAAATATCTGCCTTGGCTAATATAGGTTAGCGCAGAGCTAACAACACCATGAGCTGACACCTAACCTGCTGCATTTCATACCTCGTCCCACAAAACAATACCATGAAATTTTATACTTTTTTTTTTAAACATGGTCAGAAATATAACCAATATAATAATAATAATAATAATAATGATAATCACGGTATAAATCCACAGGTTAAACCAGAGCCAAACACGCACATACATTGAAATCAGCCATTTTCGGTGCTACGTCATCATTATCATGGCAACTCCGGCACCGACATGGCCGATGGTGATGGTGATGGCGTTAAAGACTCAGTGCTGCAGGAAATACAGAAAGAAAAAGAAACACTAGGAAAGAAACATTTTAAAAAGAACAAAAATCAAATAGGCAAGAAGCCACTCCCCTAGCGCAAAAAACAGCCTAGCAGAGCGCAAGATGGAAACTGTAGTTTACATTGTTTGGACAAAACCCCTGTTCTCCCGTCCCAGATTTCCTGCATTCCGCATCCTCATTATGGACGTCAACTCCGCTGATGGTTTGATGTTTTTCTTTTAATGAAGCCAAGGCAAAAGTCTCTGTTAGAGAGGGTGATAGAAGGGACAGAAGGTGTGGTCAGGTGTTAAAGGGGAGTGACCAGCTGGAAGATGTCCTGTGATTGGTTGGTCTGTTGGTTGGTGGTCTGATGAGCAGAAAACTGGATTAAAAACAAAAAAAAAGTCAGATAAATAATCAATTGCGTTTGTGTGAAAACATTGTATTAATAATTAACCAATGCCGACCTGTCATTAGAGAAGCTGACAGGTGGACTTTTTGCGAGTTTTGCCCGGAACTGGACTCTTCCTGTTAATCTGCCGCACAAGGTCGTAGAAGATCTGCACCAAAAATAAAAAAAAAAGTGTAAAACTTTTTTTAATCGGTGCTGATTTTTAAAAGAAATGAATTATCTGGTATGATAAACTCACCTCGTTGACGTTAATCTTGCTCTTGGCTGAAGTCTCCAAAAAGGCGCAGGAGTTCCACTGACGAGCGAGACCAATGCCTGACTCTTTGGCCACCACACGCTCCACCTCCAGGTCACACTTGTTTCCAACCAGGATCATAGGAACCTGCAACACCGTGACATTTTTACAACTGAGATCACAACATTATAGGTTTCATGGAAAATCAAATTCCTTAATGGTCAAAAAAAATAAATTTCAATTGACGTTATACATTTTGCAGTACCAAATATTAGCCAGCAGATGGCCCCAGTAGTGTGTAACTACATTAATATGCACAGTTCTCTTTTTAGGGGCGTGTAATGCAGTTGATTTTTAATAATCAAATTCAAATATGTCTCACGTCTTCAGTGTCCTTCACTCTCAGGATCTGCTCTCTGAGGTCCTGAAGATCATTGAAGGTAGACTGAGCTGTGATGGAATAAACCAGAGCGAATCCCTGACCGTTCTTCATGTACAAGTCTCTCATCGCTGTGAATTGTTCCTGCAGACGGAGGAAGTTGATTTTTGAAATTATCAGATGTAAACTTAATAAATTGGTGTTTGATATAAAACACCACAGGCGTGAGGCAGCTGAATTTTTTTTTTTTTTTTTTGGTGTAAACTTAATAAATTGGTGGGTTTTTTTTTTAAGTCCAAGCGGTAGTTCTTACTGTTCCTGCTGTATCTAGGATCTCCAACATACACTGCTGTCCATCGACCTCCACTTGCTGAAAAAACAAAACAAAAAAACATCAGACCATTTGGTCACTGTTTGACACGAAGACGGTCGAAATGTTAGGAAATCGCTTTGGCAGTTCATAGATTTCTTCTAAGAACATATGTCAAACTCAAGGCCTGTGAGTCGAAATGTTAGGAAATCGCTTTGGTAGCAGTTCATAGATTTCTCCTTAGAACATATGTCAAACTCAAGGCCTGTGGACCAAATCCGGGCCGCCGCCTCGTTTTAAATGGCCCATCAGAGCTCAACATGCATGTGCTTATTTTGTTCAAGTTCAATTTTTCTGGTGATTTTTGCTGATGTGCACTTCATCAGCAGGGGTGTCAAATTCATTTTGGTTCACGGGCCGCATGTAACCTAATTAGATGTCAAGTGGGCCGGACCAGTACAATCACACTGTAATAAATTATAAATTGCATTGCAATTCCATGTTTTTCCCCCCATTGTTTTACAAGTATATTAGATATTTATTATTATTAATTCATATTTAATGAAATAATAATCCTTTTACAAAACATAGCTAAACATAAATCTAAACATAAACTGATTTTCTTTTTGTTTTCATTTTTAAAATTCATAGAGCGGTCCGGATTGAACACCCTACTAAGCCGGTTTTGGCCCACGGGCCGTATGTTTGACACCCCTATTCAAAAAGCAGCCTTCACAATGTGCACATATACTGTATGTTTCCATAAAAGAGAAACTAGAGTAGAGCTTGTTTTGAAGCCGACGGTCGTCTTACCTTCCTGTATGAGTCCTCTATCGTTGGGTCATATTTCTCCACAAAGATTCCTTGAACAAACTGCACAGTCTGGATAGACAGATGCAGAGAGACAGAGCCACAGACAGAGGGCGATATAGAGAGAAGTAGGGCAGTGATGTTAATGGAGCTTTGTTCTCTGTCCAATTCAAACTCATTTCATTGGAATTAATGTGACACACTGACACGTCTCCATTATGACTGCACTAAATCACAGCATTGTGGAGAGACTGACACCAGAGTGTGTGTGAGTAATGGTGTGTGTGTGTGTGTGTGTGAGAGAGAGAGAGAGAGAGAAACACCCTTTAAACTGTTTTATATTTAGAATTGAATTCAATAAACTTCAGACTTCAATAGTGTTCTATTCTTATACTGTTACAGTTCCTTGTTTTGTTGTTGTGTCAAGTGTATTATTAACTTTATATTGCGTTGTCAGCACGTATATGAATATACGTGCTAAAAGACTAGTATTTAAAATTTTAAAAACCACAAAACACACACAGAAATGACTATTATCAAAAGTATAAGGGGAAAAAAAAGTATTTTCCTGTGACTTACCAGCGCTGACTTTCCAACGCCTCCCGATCCTAAAACAACCAGTTTGTATTCACGCATTCTGACTGTCTGTCTGCAGGGCGAGAGACACAGAGGCACATAGAGAGAGAGAGAGAGAGAGAGAGAGAGAGAGACAGAAGGAGAGAGTGTAACAAGAAGACAAGCAGGTTACTAGGTTACAAGTGATCACTTCCCAACAACATATCAGAGAGCAGCATTTACATAAGCCCCGCCCTCACTGTGTACGTACCTGGAACTGAAAACCATCAATTACGCACACACACACACACACACACACACACACACAGATAAAGACTTCCTTATTCCTGCTTTAAAGTAATAATTACCCAGCATGCATCTCGTTGAGTACATGAAAACAGTGAAGTCACATGATCGCCCAGCTGGTGATGATGTCACAGCTGTAGAACTCTGCAGAGTGCGAGTGTCATGTTGGCTCTTGTTACTACCAGCACCAGAGGCTACAAACATTATAGTGAAGCATGACTGGTATGTGTGTAAACACACACACACACACACAGGAACAAACGGGGATGTCAAACTTAATTTGATTCAGGGACCGCATACAACCTGAGTAGAAGTGGGCCGGACCAGTACGGTCATAACAAAATTATCAATATATATATATATATATATGTATATATATATATATATATATATATATATATATATTTGAGAGAACATCACTAACATGGGGTGTTAACACTTTCAACGTTCATCAAGTGGGCCGTATTGAACCCCTGAGTGGGCCAATTTTGGCTTGCGGGCCGCATGTTTGACACCCTTTACATAGTTCATCAAATTTTAAATACCTGTATAGGATCTTTCAGTATGTTGCAAATATATTTTGGTCTAAATGACTATTTTGTTTTTAGCTTAGTTTGTCATAACACATTTTGATTTGTTTTTTTATTTACTTTTCTATTCGTTTCAATTATTTGATTTGTTTTCGAGAGATTTTGTACGTTTTTTAAATATATAATTTATAAACTTATATTTATATGTAAATACATATATTTTACCATAATTTAAATATATAATTTAAATTATACCTATAGTTATTTTGAAAGTTCAACAGAAAAGTATCAGTGAAAATAATAGCTTTGCTGTCCGTCAAAACTTTTGACCCTAGTCTGATTCATTTTGCGTTGGCTTTTTTTCTCTCTTGCCGATACACACCTAAGGAAGTGACCCAGGGTTGCGTTTCACTGTTTGTTATACTTCAATAACGTGACAAATAAAACTCTCGAATGTTGAATCCAGAACCCAAGGTTAAACTGACGTCTTCCCTGAACCACTGAAGGTCTGTCACAGCTTTAAGATGAAAATGTTTCAAACTCAAATTTAACAAAAAAAGGCTGAAAACTGGACCTCACAAAGACATACGGTACATAGAGGAAGCTGAGTTGCAGCACTTCCTGTGTACAGATGGTGCTTTAAGGTTACCATGATAGTGAGATAAAAGGGTTTGGTAATGTCAGGAGGAAACGTTAGTATCTCTGTGTACCAATAATCCATTAGTCGTCCACGGACCGTAGATACACGGTCGTACCTGCGGGGTGTCTAAAAACCCAAGATACGTCTGGTGATGTTGACTCTGTCTGGAGGGAGCAGCTATCACTTTTCCACCTGTGGCCATTAAGTCCTCAACAAATGAAACGGTTTTACAGCTTGGAGTAAACAAAAGACAGACTTTATCTACGGTGTCATTTTTAAATCCTGGTTTTTCCATATGTCCGTATAGCAACTTTCATTCACATATTGAACACAGGTGATCCTAACTTTTTAAATTTCAACCATGGGGTCACAGGCCCACATGGGGTCGTCTGAAAGACAAGCTGGCCTAGCTGTACATGTGATCAAGGAAAAACAAAATCTACATCTAGAAAAAAAAAGGATAAAAAATTAAGGATGTCAAAATGGGGTCACAAGACAAAACAGGTTGGAAACCACTGTCCTAGCCTATCCTGACTTTAGCCAACAGTAATCAACTTCAGACGGGATCTATGAAAAAAGACAATGACTCTGAGACTTAAGCGAAACCAGGTGCGACAACCTGTAGATTACATCTAATCTGTCACTAAAGAACGTAAACGTTTCTGTGAAACATTTAGCCTGAGGCAGGTGAAAGTGTAGTGAGAACGCTACGTCCTCGGGCTACGATTTAACCCAGGTCAGCATAGATCGAGACGATAAGGAATTTCATAGTTCTTATAAAATGGGCGCGATACTTTTTTATAGCATTATCATCAAACCATGAGTCTCCTGAACTTCCTTGTCCTTTAATAAAAGTACAACCTTAGCAATGAGCGTTTAACGTTAGCATTTACATAAAACTACATTCAACCAAGACCTAAACAATAACATTATTAGGAGTTAATGTCTAAGTAGTTCAGGAGTAGGAACTGGACTGGTTCGGTTGTTTTGAAGATGTTTCACTTCTAATGCAAGAAAACTGAAGCAGCCTGGATGAGAGATGTTTCTTAACCGAGGAATTATCCCAAAATGTTGGACTTTCCTTAGTCTGTCTTCTGTCCGGGAGTGAGTGAAAAACGGAGCCGAGAAGATTTCAAAGACTGATCAGATCGTGACTCGGCAAGTCTCTTCAACGTGACGCAACAAGTCCTGACCAGTTCATGGACTCTCAGATGATAAGAGCATCAAGGAAAAGTAGACTAACCCAGCAGAACAAAATGGAAAATATTTGAGGCTAGGTCAACATAAAACATAAGCTTCCACCGTAATAAAAATATCATTTTGGGACACCATAAACTGGAAAACATTTTTGGAGCCACCCATAGTTTCCTCCTCTGTAAATAGCTAGGCAATATCTTGCCCTGTGATCGCCAAGTTGTCGCTCAGTCACAGTACTACCCAGCCCGGTGTATAAATAAGTATGGTAACACTTCTAGATTTGTAAGAACTCATAGATATTTTAAAATCTTTAAGCCATGACATGTAGTATTTTTTAACACATAATTGCCGCAAAGGGTTCAACATTTTTAAACGGAAAAAGAAAAACATTTAATAGCTAGATCGAGATTGATAGATCTGTTAATGGCTGGAATGACTAAAAAAAAAAGATGCTAGCTTCCTCTCGTGGCACTACAAAATCTAAAAGTTACTGATGCATTCCCACCATATACTGTCAAGAACTCCAAATACAAAATCCCAAGTACAATACTAAAAATGTGCCTTTAAGTTTTGAAAGATGCTGCTCCTTGTGGACATGTTGGCTAGTGCGCAATGTAGTGCTGTGACTTCCCCTCTGGAGTTTAACATCCTTGGGTTGACTAGTAGTAAAGATGTAGAGATCACGCAAACTTCAGAGCAGGAGCCACAGCAAAATTGTGGCTCATGCAAAATAAAATTTGACAGCAGAGCAAGACTTCTTCGGCAATCTGTTGGTCCAATGTGTTTCTACGCAGAGTGTGTACTCACTGGTGTGTTCAAAAATGTGTTCCGTCAGTTGCGTCTGGTTTAGATGAGTCAACGAAACTGTGGAGATTTCAACCAGGAAGGTATGCAGATGCAATAGCATTAAAAACTGTTTTTAAAGTTCTAGCTCTGAGGTAGTATTCATTTGAAAGAGACTAAAGAGGAACAGAAAACATTCTAGTTTGGACACGTGTATATGAAGCACTTCTGGATGTATGTCGATTTTTAAATGTTTCACTAACAAACGCAGTGCACTGACATGGTCTGGGTCAGGCTGGGCCAAAGTACGGCCTGTGGGCCGGATGCGGCTTGTTTGGCTTTTTGCTATGGCTCGCCAAACTTGTCTAAATTGTTATTGATTTCTATCGTTATACTCCTCCATCTTTCTGCTCCTGACCCACCTGTCAAATTTTAGGACCCATTGTGGCCCGCGGGTCACAAAAGTTAGCCCACGCCTGGTCTACGAGAAAGTCACTGTCTACTGACCATGATAATAGGTCATCAATGACGCCACGTTAAAGGGTCCAGTGTTGAAGCTTTAACATCTGGCAGCTCACATGTGGTGTCCACTGATATGTAGATACAACCCAGTTTTCCAAGGACCTTTAATCCCATTAATTAAAGGTGAAATTAATGTAAAAATTGTTAGGATTTAAATAGTTTCAAGTCCCCCGACACATTCACTAACAACTGGTTGTTAAGTAGCGCTGATTCAACTACAGCATTTCGAATTCGATTTTCCTATCGACAGTGAAAGCAGCACAGTGTTAATCAACTAAAGTAAAGTTGTTGGAGAGAGAGATGGACATCCTCACGCACGCACACGCACGCACAGACTCCACAACTAGGTGGGGCCTGTCAAGACCAAGCGTGCGCGTGCGTCTGCTGCTGACAGTACAACGAAGCCCACTCATGTGCACACATGTACACGCACGCTCCTAAACTACACCCTCTGTGATAAGTAACTTCCGCTCTCCCCATGTCTTTTCCCCCCAGCAGCTCCGCGTGAGTGTCGAGGCTCTGTGGCCGACTCGGGGCGCTCCCCGCTCGGCCACCTTTGGCATTAGGCCCTGCTGCCTGAAAAGAGCGAAAGGGCTGGAGCTCAGAGACCGCTACAGACAGACAGACAGACAGACGGCCGCCATGATGCTCCCACCTGTCTCCCTAATTGTGTGTGTATATGCACAGCTGTAGTTTCACTAACAATATTATTTATAACTGAGCGTCAGTCCGTCTGTCTGAACTCTCCCCGCCTGTCTCTCTCCCTCTGTCTGTCTCTCAGCCCGCCGTCCGCTCGCTTCCGCAAACCCAGCCCTGCAAAGCTCGGCACCGGCCTTTCTCCGGGTCTGTTCACAGTTAATGTCTCGGTCTGTTCCGGGTTAGTGCCGTTAGATAACAAGATCAAAAAAACAAAAACAAAAAAATAATAAATTAGGTTTGATAAAGTGAAAAGGAAGCGCAACTCACCGTCATCCACCCGTACACTCCGCTGCTCTCGCTCTCTCCCTTTCCTCCACTCTGTGTGGTTGTCTCTCTACCAGAGCCGCTCCCTCCCTGCTGCCACCGAGCTAAGATGTCAAGCTACAGTTGATATTTGGACGTATTTTTGTTTCTTTCAAAATAAAACTCATTACAGAGTCAGACGAAAAAGTTCGTTATATGTAATGTTTAAAGACAATTTCCAGTAATGACGTTCATTTAATGGTTTGATGTTGGAACATTGAACATATTTTAAACTATTTACTTAATTAAAGTCTGTCATTAATTTTGCGTGCCTCACATCCGTGCTGACGTTTAGCTCGCAAGGTTATTTTGAAAATGTCGACACTTACTTCCTTTTCCGCTACAACTTCGTCATTTTATCGTTTCCTCCTCGAGTGCTTCCGGCTGTACATAAGATGTTAATGCGTATTTTCCGTCAAATTGAGAATATTTATTTTTTTGTTCGTTCGGTCTATATCACGTTGTAGGTTAAAAAGATAAAACAAAATCAAAACATTAATGAATATTAAAATTAATAAAATAGATTATTATTTTCTGCTTTCTTTTTGTGTTATGATGTTCTATATTTGTATAGTACTTTACAAAAACACAATAAATGTATTAAATAAAAAGCAATAGCGTGTAGCAATAAATCATAATGGACTTTGATAATCTGATCCTAGTTTAATTATTTCTTGTATGACAGTTAAAAAAAAAAAACCTCAACATTATTTTAACAGGAAATGAATGTGTGTGTGCCTGTGAGTGTCCGTGCAGTCACAGCGTGCTGAAGCGTGTTGGTGGGAGTATACTTACAAAACCCTCACACACTTACAACAATTTTGTGAAGACACACCTTAGCAAGCTTCCCCTTTACTAACAAATATCCTGTCTGTATGTGTTTCAGGGTGTGTATGTGTGTGTGTTTTAAATTAGTAGAAAGTAATGGTGTTTTTTTCTAGCAGAACAACACGTTTTGTAAATTATTAAATAAATTAAAACAAATTTTATTTTATTTGTACTGTTTTTTTTATGCATGTTTTGATTATCACCCAAACAACTGGTCGGTAGACACTTAATATCAAAGGTTGTTTTTAAAGCAAATTCAGCCAAAGAGTCCAAACTTAAAGCCCTAACTCGAGTCAAACGTCATTAACTCAGACTGTTACTGAATTCAGACATGGCTCAAATGTTTCTTTGGCGACATGGTCCTAACCACCAGTTCAAACATTTCACACCACGTGAAAGAAGGTGTCACAATGTTTGAACGGTGGTTAAAATCGCATTATGTGTTAATTCTGCAGACCAAATCTTGGTTCTCTAGAGAAGATGTCGGTTTGTGTCAGTCCTCCCCCCCCCTCCCTGTCGTGGATCATCAGATTGTCAGACGAGAATGAATCCTCCAGCTTCAAAGAGGAGAGATCATCAGCATGTCAATTATTAGCCACACAAACACATGCAAAACACACGAGCACGCGCCCAGATGATACAAACAAATCAATGCAGCTGTTGCTAGGCGACAAAATGAACAAGCGTCAGCCTTTGTTTGCTCTTCATCCATTTTCTGCTTTGTTGAAACAGCCAATCAGAAGGGGCTGCTCATTCGAACACAAAGTCATTAGCTATTACATCTGCATGAATTCAAAGCTGCCAAGTACAAAGACATAACTCCGCCCCCTTTCTCTGACGTCGCATCAACAATTGTTAAAGGGAACATAGATTTGGTTTTGGGTCCTGACGGCGTTGTCTCCCCCTGCTGGTAAAACAAAACCCAAAAACACCAAAAACTTTTTTTAATTATTTTTGGTTTCTGTTCATAAAATCTACAAAAGAAAAATATAAGATCGATTCTCCCGTTAACTTAAAACAAAAGAAATACCTTTTTTAAAAAAGTATTTTTTTTATTTAATTGAAACTTTGCAGATGGAGGTGTAACATTTATTTATAATAAAAAATTAAATTAACCAACATCACAACTTCCTTTTTCTCTCCACAACTGTGGGCATATAATCACATGAGAGAGGAGCGGGGCCTGGAGTGAAGCCTGGAGACACAGTTAATGTGTTTTAATCATTATAAAGACCTGTTACACTATAACGAGCAGTTTCAGGAGCGCTTCTTAATTTGTACCCTTTTTAGAGAAAAAAAAGGTTGCATCAAAACGGCGTAAACACACACGGACACACACGCACAAGAATGACAGTCTCAGTATGAGGGTAGGTAGAAATTGACCCTTTTTATTTTGCTGGGGTGATAAACAGACCGATGACCCACACCTGACTGAACCAGTTTAAACTAGACTGACTCGAGTTCAAGTAACATCAGACGCAACAGTGTCAGATTCAGTTCCACCTCAAAACTAAATCAAAGGAGAGTGAATTTGTATAAAGAAACCGGGCCAATCCTGACCAACTCTGGTTTCAGTTTCATCAGATTGAACAGCAACTTAACTTGAATTAACTTCAACTCACTTCACACAAACCCTAACTGAAACCAGTTTGATTGTTCCTCCTTTTATACAGTTCATGTCTACTTTTCACACTGCCAACCAGAATTAGAGAGTGAATCCAATTTAGCCAAATGGCCAGAACTCAGTTTAAATAAAACCGGATACATTTAGACTGACTTGGGTTCGAAGAAAATCATTTTAAGCTACCACAAACCCAGGTCCGACTACAGAGAACCCAACTGAGATCATGACAATCTCGAGGCCTCGCCGTTCTTCAAAATTGGATTCCATCTTTAACAAATTTATCACGTTCATATTGACAGTGGGCGTGGCCCGTGAGCCACTGATGAAGACGCCCAACAAATGGTCACGGGGTATGAACGTTATTAATGTTGCTTTAGCAACACTAGAGAGTTGGCAGCAAAGGAGTAAAACTTGACATAAACAAGATTTGATTGGCTAGCCTGTTTGCGAGACTGGATCAAATCAACCAATCCTGTATCGACCAGGATGAAACGTCAATCCTTTTGTGGTCCAGTCAGGTAGGGTCCCCACCGACCCTCCCCTTACCTGTGAAGGGGCGGGGCATGAAAACAATGATGCTGATTGGGCAACAATCAGACTCTACACTTGTCAAACCCACCTTCGTATTGGTTGCCTACACAAAACTATCAAAGCAGAGCTGGTGCCCTTTCTCATCATCAGTGCGTCAGGTAGGAAATGGCTCACTCCCCTTATTGGTCAGTTTCAATACTAAGTCAACTATGAGTCACTCAGCCGTGGCCAATCAGGCTACAGTACCTGTGGAACTCTGGTATTATGTAAAAACTTAAAAGAAAAAAAAAGATGTACATGAAGATCAACCCATGAGATGGTCTCAATACCAAAAAAAAAAAAAAAAAAAAAGCAAACAGCTAGTAGGAGGAGCTTCCAAGCCTCTTATGGAATTTATTTAACTTTATTTTTTCGTCTTTGTAGTCCGTGTGTTTTTGACTCTGTTTCTTTTCCAGCCGGTGTCAGTGCATCACAGAACGAGACGGTGTCACTATGACTCTGTGTGTGTGTGTGTGTGTGTGTGTAATTCTGTATTCTGTCGTAAATGTATGTTTTCATGTCCAGCAGCGGGGAAAGGGAGGGGGGCATGGGGAGGTGGTGGTGCCGTGTTGCATCATGGGAAGTTTTGTCCGTCTTTCTTTCGCTATCTCTCTCTCTTTCTGTATTCTGTCTCTTTAACTGGTGTCCATGGACTCCATGTTTGCAGAGGTGGAATCTCTCTGGATCGAGTCAAAGATGGCCGCCAGCTCCTGATTTGACGAGATCTGCGACTGGAACTCCGACATCAGCGGCGACTTCTCAGCTTCTGGGATGGTCAGCAGGGCGACTACGGCTCGCATCGCTGATCGCTTCAGCTCGTCCTGCTTCTCAAACTCTTGCTTCACCGAGTTTGCCTTTACCTGTGGAGACGAGGGACAACGTTTGATTGATGTTCAGCAAAGATGTTTCCATGTGCAGAACCCTCAAAAGCGGGATGTACGATAAAGCAGTGTTTCCTAAACTTTTTTCTGGGGACCCGTATTTTAAAAGTCACAAATCTTTGCGACCCAAGTCATATGGACATTATTCGTAAACTTCTGGGAAACATGATGCGAGACGACCCGAAAAAAACAAACTCTTGCGACCCACCTGAGGGTCGCGACCCAGTCTTTGAGAAACAATGCAATAAACAACAAGAGAAGTGACAACAAAATGTTGACACACAACTGCAGATCTGGTGAAAAATGTTCCAAGAAACATTGGAATGTTCCTGGGCTCTGCCTGTTGAAGTCCACAGTAAACAGAGTCAACCTGTGAGTCAGTTGTGTTTTCCTGTACCTTGGTGGTGCAGGTGGCTCTGAGCGGTTCTACCAGTCTGTCCAGTCTCTGCAGGACAGCACTGGGACACAGAGACGAGAGTCTGGCCAACATCAGGAAGGTCAACATCTAAAAAAAACAAAAAAAACAAAACAAAACAAAGGTAAACCTAACAGGACTCGAACAGTAAACAACACCGACGCCGGCGACGCCGGCCTCACCTTGATGTCATAGTGATCCTTGAGTCCGTCTTCTACGTGGTTGAGGAAAGTGAAGATGTCGATGCGGTCCAGGCAGCTGTCCAGCAGAGTGTACATGCACTCGAACGCCGCCTTCCTCAGGTCCAGACCGTCGTCTACAGTGTGTTTGAAGGGACCCATCTCCACCTTAACATAAAACACACTCATTAACCATCTCCTCCTCTTTGTTCTTACACCATCCTCACCTCCGGGGCTGTTTCGTGTCCCTCACCTCTCTGATTAGCTCTTTGCGAACTTTGGTCTCGTTGTACAGCTGCGGTAAGACCGAGTCCAGCAGTTCTCGGATAAGACTGGGTTTGTTGTGAGCGGCCGAGTTGAATGTCACCAACGCAACCCGACGCACGTTCAGATCTGGATCCTCCAGCGTCTTCAAGAAGTCACCTTGGAATGAAATGACAGAAAAAGAAAATGTATCCACTAATCTTAACGGCCAAACTACACAATGATGAGTGGATGTTTTTGTGTTACATTTGTTGATTGTTTCTAATCTGGACTTTTTGTAATGAAAAAAAAAAAAAAAAAAAAAACCCCCCCCACGCCACAGGCCAAATTAAGCTGCCAAGTCATTCTGTGGTGTTTAATTGCCTTATAAAACAGTCTTTGCTGCTGAGGTTCTTAATCTGATTAATTAAACAGTTTGTTGTTTTTTTTTATTATACAGAACTATGTATAATACTAGTAACTTAAAAATAGTGTGACACTCTCCAGCAGGTGTCCCCAACCCCTGGTCTGGGGACCGGTGCTGGTCCATATGTGATTTGATACATGGCCACAGTGGAACACTGTGAAAATTTTTTAAAGTTTTATTAATTCACTTCAATCTAAAAGAATTCAGTCATATCCCTTTACTTTTTTCATTCAAAGATAATCTGTCAATGTTTCAAAACAACAGGTCAAAGGTCACTCAGACTCTGATACTAACAGAACATAGTCTGAAAGATGTTTTATTTTGAAAATTAAATGGTGAGGTATTACTGGTCCACAGTACTGGCTGATACCAGCTGACCGCTCCTCGCTTCAAAAAAGATTGGGGACAACTGTGTTTGTCAACAGTATCAGATTTGAACACAGGGGGTCGCTGTTTTAACATGTGGTGACTACATGTGCCTTACCAATGCAGTTCTTCAGCAGTGGGTCAATGGGCTGAGGTTGGTCAGAGATGGTGAACTTCACGGCTGTCACCACTGAGCTCCTGGCATACGATGAACCTACGTAATGTATGAATGAATAAATGAATTATTAAATCAATCAATCATTTCAAACATCAAACGTCAGCTAATCGATCCCCTCTCTGACTAACTGTGGCCCATTAGAATTAGCGACAGAGTAGTGGAAGTATCCACTGATGATTGATAACCTGAGAGCAGGTATCCCTTCAGGCGGGGCAGCAGAGTTTCGGGGTCGATCAGAGTCAGTTTGCCGAGACACTCGGCCACGACGTTCCTGGTCCCTTCTTCCTGACACTCGCTGTGTTTGAGCAGCAGGGTCCAGATGGACTCTACGTACGGCTTAAGACCGGACACGGATGCTGAACCTGGTTGGACCAAAAAAAAAAAAACAAAAAAAAACGGCATTAAAATCAAACACACGTGTTCAGTGTCAAACACTTTGGATTTGGACAGAAAGTTCTCACTGATGATCTCTTTTAGGGAATGCAGCAGCAAGTACTGTCTCTTTGACGAGGAGATCTCCTGAAGGACGAAGGGAAGATACTCGGGTAGATTGCCCACCGCGATACTGCCCAAGGCGTAGGAGGCAGCTGACTTCACCTGTGAGAGAGGGATAGCGAGAGAGAGGGGGAGGGTGATAGGGAAGAGAACAAGAGCGAGACAGACGGAGGGCAAAGGTGAGAGCGAGCAAGAGAGAGAGAGAGTTAAACAAGCAACAAAAACCGTTCCGATCGTGCTTGAAACTCTTCTGCCCGTACCTCTTCACTGGAGGATGAAAAAGCATCTAGGATGACCGACTTCAGCTCTGGCTGGTTGCTAAGGTCAACATGGTGTCCCACTTCACCCAACGAGAGCAGAGCAAGAAGCCTAATGGAGTCTGTAGAGCGGCTGTTCTTCACATCCTGTCGTAGGAGAAGGTTTGACATAAACAACAGACTTGAACCTTGACCTGCTTGTCATAAAGGTCACTTTATTAGAATCCATAATAGATGATGACAGCTGTAGCTGAAGCCCCGCCCCCAGATGTTTACCTGGATGAACTGTCCCACCACGGCAGGTCCCTCTGTGGGACACGCTCTGGTCAGAGCAGCGACACATTTGGCGATGGAACAGTACGCCTGTTTGTGCGGCAGCGCCGCGCTCTGGGAATAAACTGGACCGGTCAGCATCCTCAGAAGGTCCATGTAGCCCAGCCCGGGAGTCTCAGTAGCCACCAGAGCCTTAACACGAGAGAAGAGTCAGCATTAATGCTTAGAAAACTGAATCCTAAAATGTTACAATCGCACTGCGATTCCATTGACGTCAGCGTACCTGGTAGAAGTCCAACATGGCCGCCAAGGCTCCGCCCTGCAAAAGTGGAGATCGGACCAAAGCGATGAGCTGCTGGAGGATGTTTCCTCCGCTCAGATGACCCAGGGAGGACTGGTGCGTCACGGCCAGCGTGGACAAGAAGCTCAGCGCCATTTGGGATACGTGCATGTCGCTCTCTGAGATGAGGGGCGGGAGCTCGGCGAGGACGGCGTCGACCATGACGGGAGTCACAGCGGAGCTGATGCAGAGAAGAAAAGTAACGGGAAAGAAAGGAACACATGAGACGTGAAGCTACGGATGTCAAGACTACTTTTGGTCGTCCTTCAAAGTGACTTCTAACTAAATGACATTTTGCTTCATTTTGCGCGTACCTGTAGTTCCGCAGCAGGATGTCTAGAGCAGCAAGTGTACACAGCTTCAGTGCTCGCTGGTTCTTGCGGAGGAAAGAAGCAAGGATGGGAACAGCGTCGGGGAGCACTGGCCGCAGGTCGATCTTCAGCGGAGAGCCCGCGATGAGCGTCAGAGCCTTCACCGTTGTCAGTCTCGTGATCTCGTTCTTAAGACGTTCCAAGAAGATCAGCAGCGTTCCGGGGAGTTCCGCGGGGAGGCGGTCGCCGAGGTTACAGATGATTTGACCCATGCAGGAGATGGCCCGTTCTTTCACCTCCTGATCGATGTCGGCGGCTTTCAGTCGTTTGATGGTGCATGTGAAGAGGTCGTTTATGTAGGGGGAGGGGTCAAAGGTGTCTGGACCTTCAGAGCTACCGTCCAGGGGTCGGATCACCTGAAGAAGAGAGAACATTATTGTTCAGGTATCAGGTAGCCTCTGAAAGTGGAAAAAGATTTTCTTTTTGTGGACCGTACTCCGACCTTGACTAACTGCTGAGTGACCAGCAGAGCCTCAGAGGTGATCTTATAAAACGGATCTCCCACACACGCCACTACGGACGGGACGAGAGCGGGAACGTGGACGTGGAAGGCATGAGCAGGGTGTGTGACCATGATGACGTGGAGGCACGCCAAGGCATCAATCTTCAGGTTAGAGCTGCTGGACTTGTCATTCAGAGAGAAAATGATTCCTACGAATAAAAGAAGATAAATAAAAGGTTCAAGTTTAGCGTCCAGTACTGTTTATTTGTTTTCATATCATTAAATCTGTAGTCAAAGTACAATTACCAGGTATTAATATTGGGATGTGCTGTGTCAGAGCTCCAGGCAGGACATTCACCAGCTCCGTCAGCATGTTGAAGCAGCACTGACGGGTTTTCACGCTCTTCTCCTTCAGCTGCTTGTGAAGAGCTTTGACTATGATCGGAATCTGGGAGACAGGACGAGGAAAAGTGAGTGGGAGACACAGGTCAGAGAGGCATCACAGTGAAACAAAACAAAAAACTGTCCAACAGCCACACATGGTGAATTTGGTGAAAACTTTGGTGAAAGTTTGTCAGAAAAAAAATAAAACACCATGAGAAAAGAGTCGTAAATTGTTGGTGGAAAAAAAATTATTTTATGAGAAAAAAAGTCAAAAAATTGCCAGAAGATAATCGTAATATCAGTATAATCGCGCAACCTGTCCGACGCGCATCGTGTTTTTGACTTTTCTTCATATATTATAAAGAGACAAAATTGAAAAAGATTTCGTAAATGTACGACTTTTCTGTTTCGAATTTTTTTCTTGTAACATTGACTCAAATTTACAACTTCAATCTTTTTTTTAAATTTTAGTCTTTGTATCAATTCTTTAAAAAACACAAAAGCAACAATGTTAATACATTCTATACATTTTGTTTCTGTACTCTCTAGTCAGAAGTTTCAGTACGGCTGTGGGGCGAGCTGATAATGGATCACCTGACTCTGCAGCATGGTGAGCGGCGTGTCTCCCTGCTCCATAGCATCCGGATCAGCTAACCAGCTCTGAGCAGGTCTGGTCTGTTTTAGCAGCGACAGATAAGCGTGGAAAACATCCGCCTTCACGTTTTCCTCCCTCTCCTGAAGACACAGAGGTCACAGATGGGGTTAGCTTCAAATGGACACACAGATGTGGCGAACGAACGTAAAACGATGCTAAGTGCATTGAAGAAGAAGAGGGAGAAGGAGGAGGTGGAGCGCTGGTTAAGGAGTCGTACCTTGAAGCGACAGACAAGTGCTGGAGACACCGAGCGGTAAAACTCGGGCAGCATCTCGTGGCGAGTGGAGACGACTGCGTCCAAACACTTCGCTGCAGCTCGTCGAACTTTCCAGCTCATGTCATCGTCGTCACTGTACTCGTCATCACTGCCTGGGCGCAAGGAAGGAAGGAACAGGTTATTGAGAGGACGCCACGCTGACATGAAGTTAGTTTTTTTTTACCCAAGAACTTGTTCTCTCAGTACCTTGATAATCCTCATCATTTTGCTCGGCGTCCATGGCGTTGTCGTCCTCGTCCTCATCATCAAAGTTGTAGTTGGGGTCGTAGGTCAAGTAACGGAGACAGATGGAGATGACGGTAGGAACGTGGGGATAAACTTCTTTTGGGCATCTGCAATGACAACACAATCAAAAACCACGAACTATAAATATTAACTTAAATAAATAATCGAT